TCGGAAAGGGAAATAGATGGTATCTTGCCGGCATTGTCAGCTGGGGTGAAGGATGTGCTCGGCGTAACCGCCCTGGTGTATATACAAAGGTGACAGAGCTTTATGACTGGATTCGTCAGTACACAAACTGATGCGCTTAGAAGAAAACAAAAGTCACCATTTTTACCGGAGTAATCCATGAAATATGTTTTTATGATGATAACATAAGGAAACACTGTAGATGTTTGTGCTGAAGTTCATATATATTTTTTTAAGACCTAAAATTGTTATTAACTTCTCTGCACATTTCAGGAACAGTCTGAACTGAAAGTAACATTTTCCATCTTCAATGTCTTCATCACCAGAAATGGACAAACAGGGTTGAATGAAGTAAGAATGGATTAGAACCTTGGGCCAAATTCCAACCAAACCTTATTGGATGTTTGGATACTTCCTTTCCTCTCCTCTCCCCTCCTCTCCAGCACATATATATACATACATACACTCTCCATATGCAATGTATTGCGGTTTCAGACAGGATCAAGGGCCCACTTCTCACGTCTGGTCAAAATACACAAACTGCAAGTCAGGGCAGTGTGCAAAGGTGGGTTAAAGCTCTCCTTCACTCATGGTGCTGCGATGCTGCTCCCTCCTGTGCTGTGTTTAGAGGAGCCCTCAGGCTGTTCTACCTTAATATGTTTTTTAAGCTGGAAGGGGCCAAAAACATAGCTCTGGTTTGTTGTGATATAGGGGCACCCCAAACTCTCTCCCACTTTGGTAGCCATGATCCCTTTCCTTGTTAAGTTAGCAGCAGGGAGGGTGTTTGGCGTTCAAGACCAAAGATAACACTAAGCTGTGTGCCAATGTTCGATTCTCATGATCCTCCCTGGGCTGGTTAAGACAAGCATACAGGGGTGCTGGAACAATTTTTATAGTGGGGGTGCTGAGAGTTCTTGAACCAAACTGTAGACCCTGTATATAATGGAAACCACTTCAAGCTGGGGGTTGTGGCAGCACCCCACTATCCCTAGTGCCAGCACCTATGCAAACATGTGATCAAATTCCATCAGTAGTGTAGCACAAATCAGTCCCATTAAACCTGAAGATCTGGCCCTAAACTTGCAAGGACTGAAATACCATTATTGGTGTCTTCGGAGTGATGGTATTTTAGAACAGGAGAAAATGCTGAGTTTATTAAGAGGAGCTCAATTCAGTTAATCTAGAGGAAACTGCACCTATTAGATGGAAAGAGAATTCTTTTTCAGTCTGGTACAAACAAAACTTCACATGCACAAGCTCCCTAGCTGCTATCAAATGTTAAACTATATAATCACAACACATTGCTGATTATACTTTGTGAGAACAAACCTGTTGCTAGCTACTTATAGTAATAGACTTATTCAAATTAACTCTTTCGTGGGTGTCAGACTGCAATAAGAGTGTCATCTTGAATTATCTCCTACACAAAGAAAGACAGGAACTTGATCATATGATATTCCAAACCAAAAAGATTGGAGTACTTTTTAATAGGAATCTATACTTTTTGGATGATTATCTTGTAGTCAAAACAGCTTGAGGTTCACCTGGATCTATAGTAGTTATTAGGCTGTAATTATTCTATCTGCTCAGGGCTGTAGTACATCCAACCTCTAAGGTACTAGTAGTGTGTCAGAGATACTGCAACTGGGAGGTAAGGCATGAGGTGCTTCAGTTGCTAGGCCTTGTGCTAGCCCTGGTGTGTCCCAATAACCCCCCAGACACTTGGAGAAAGGAAAGGGGCATTTTACTAGGTCTGGCAGGAGAGGGAAAGGTTGCAAATACCCTAGGAATAGTGGCTTAAACAGTTAGAGCTCAAAGTGAAACAATAGTGGTTCTTATTTGGGCCCACTAAACAGCTTTCCAGACCTAGTGCCTAAGGTGCTTTCTCCAGTCCAGTTTTCTATTAAAAGCTAATAAGGCTGTGCAGATTTCCTGGCCTGGATCAGTTAGTGGTGTGGCTCATTAGAACCCCTTTCTGTTGGCTCCCTGCCCAGTCTCTGCTGCATCCACACATACCTGAACCTGGCTGCCATGTCCATCAGTCACTGTTCCATATGTGGTTGCCCAGCTCCTGCTGCAGCCTGCTCTGAACACAGTTACCTGGAAGTTTCCCTATGCAATCAGCTTCTCTGCTGCTCCATTTCCCCAAGTGCCAGGTTACTTCGTGGGTCAGGGTTTCTCATAGTTTCTGCCCCTTTTCCGTACTGGCCAGCAGAAGGGGATGAGCCTGAATGTCCATCCCACAGGGTCATAGATCAGTGGAGAAGGGGTTCCTGCTTAGCAGACTGATCACAAGAGTTTTTCTCCTTGCTTGGTATCAGTAGATAGATCCAGATTGAGACTTCCAAAGCTGTCTAGGGGATTTAAAGCACCTGTATCATTAAAAGTAATGGAAGATCTATCTAACCCCGCTAGCCAGCTTTAATGGTCTCCCCTTCAATAGCTTGTAGTTTTAGGTTTTCAGACCTGAGGTAACATGATGATGGCAGTTGGCGACTTGGATGCCACTCCCTGCCACACTCACAAACACACAGCTTGGTTATGTTGTATGAACGTGCCCCTCACAGTGTGGCCAGAATCTTGTGATTTTTTTTTTTCTTTGTCATGAGTGATAGGATTTTGGCTGGTATGGAGCCAGTCTCATAATGATGCAAGTAGTCCAAGTCCTTTAATGTATTTGAGCCCTCTGATTGGTTATTTTTCCCCAGGAGGTGGGCAAATGGGGCAGGCAGCCAACCAGAGCTGCCACAGGAAGAGCGCTGTCTCCTCCTCCTCCCCTCTGCAGCAATCCAAAGCCATCCTCATAAGAGGGGCATGGGGAGGAGGTAGCAGAAAGAGCCCAGCAGCTCAGGGCAACTCCACTGCTCTGCCCTCCTCCCCTCTGCAGCACCTGGCCTTGGGGCATGGAAAGGAGCAGCAGCGGTGGGGAGGCTGAAGAGCCCTGGAGCTGCCCCTCCAGCCTGGAAGTGGGAAAGGGGACCCCTTTGCAGCCCCCCCCCTACACACACCTGGGAGAGGGGGATGAAGAACCCCGGAGTAGCAGAGGGGAGGCCGGGTTGCACTGATGTGGGAGTTAGGGGCGGGGGCTACCAGTGACTGAACTGATACAGGGATTGAGGGGACAGGAGTGATTCAGAGGCTGGGAGCAGAATGAATTGCTGGGCAGGGGATGGGCTGATGTGGGGATGAGAGCTGCAGCAATGGCCAAAATCTACTTATCTAATAAATTTGGGAGAGTGGGGCCCAGTAATTGTGGCTCTCTCTTGGGGGTGGGGGAGCATTCAAAAATCAAGACTGAAACCACTATGTAATTTTTTTTTTTACCCTCATATTTTGAGTCTCACTCACGATTTGTAATCTCTCTTGAGGTTGGCAATACTACCCTCACTTATTTTTAGCTCACTTTCGTAGGCTGACTCATTGTACAGTACATCGGGGAAGGCGTTCTGTAAATTACACGTAGATACAGGAATGAATTTTATTGTTGTCTTCATGTTACATAATTCATGTATTTAAGACTAATTTTTTAAATATAATTCTCTCATTAAAATGTGTGGTACTTTCTCCAGGTTTTTTAATGGAATGTAAAGGCACTGTCTATTCTAAACTCTAAAGATATTAAAATTCTAAAAGTATTTTACTAATGTACTGGTGTTTCTTGAATAGTGGTGACTAAGTATTTACTAGCATGGCGGCGCTACTGAAATAAAGTAATTCACTCTGAACTCTTGGTATGCTTAGAATTACAGTCACAGCTTGTAAGCTGTAGATGAGTTAAAATCAACTGACGTTTCCTCTTTATTTAAATAAAGTTGAACTGTGAGGCACTTAAACCTGCCAAGGTTTGAGTTTGTTTCTACTCCATGTATTGATAAGACTGTGAATATCGTCACCAGAGAAGGACGTTGCATTCCTAGAGTTTTAGATTAGATGTGAGCCTTGGCCACAAAGTTCAGATCCAGCTCTCAAATTGCCTTACGCTAGGGGTATGTGGTCTCAACACCGGGGTTTTAGTTCAGCCCATTATGTATAATGTGTGTGTATACGAGAGAGAGGTAAACCACGAAGTACGCATCTGGGTGCACACTTCAGGAGTTAGTGTGCAGGCCTCACTTATTAGTTGTGAATGAACGAACATTGGCCTTGACAGGTAAGTGAAATAGGAATACAATTTTCATAAAGCTTACACAAGGTTAATGATTGCAGATCTTAACGTCTGAAAGTGTATTGTTGACTTTTCCTATTTTTCTAAGAACTGATGGCTTAAGAGTAAAAGGAGCTTATATCCATCAGGAATATTCTGAGACCTCTCCAGGAGCGTCTGGGTCAGGCGATCACTACATGAAACAAAGCCATGAACCCAGGTGCCTGAGTTTTAGGGTAGTTCAGAATTGAACTTGACAGCTCAGACGTCCTTTGTCTACTGAGCTCTTTGGTTTCTTTTCTTTGGGAAAAGTGCTGTATAAATGTAAGCTTGCTTTAGTTCCTTTGTATTGTACAGGTATAGTGGTATTCAGACATGTGACAGGGGGATTGCTTGCTTGCCCTGTCGGAAAACACCATCTTCTCTTCTGAGACAAAGATAGATTGCTTCATCTGCTGAGTTTGTTGCTTTAGCAAGCACCATGTTGCTTGTGCTGGCTAAGGGCTGGTGTAGTAAGGTAACCAAACTGGAAAATCTAGTATGACACAGCTTGAGAATGAACATTTTGTGTTTCAAAAGTGCAGGCAAATCAATACTTCCGCCTCATCCCATTTCTTTTTCAGAGGATACAGTCCCAGTCCACTCCCCGCTCCATGGAATTTCCCTTGTTTACCCAACTTGCTGAGATCACTTGCTTGTAAATTATGCGGACCCTGGCTGCTGACGTCTCAAATCTTGACCCTGAGCTGACACCAACATTATCACAGCAGAAACAGGAAGGAAGTGAGTCTTGTCAGTATTTACCTTCAAATAAAAATTTCTCACAGAAGTGGAAGCAATGAATGGCCATGTTCCTGAACGTGAATGTCAGGCTATTGAATTACAAGGTGGGAGAGAACTTGAGGAGGAAAATGAGACGGACCATAATAAACCTCTTAATCCTGAAGCATCCATGACAAATAAGGTAGGACTCACATTCATTCACTTTCTACTTATAAGCATGTTACCTAAACATTGTACAGTGATTGAAATAACTGAGGAGCATTGTGGTGGAATAAGTTGCTTTACTGTAAAATTTATTTTACATCTTTGTTGTTGTTGTTGTTGTTGACTTATAGTTAAATGTCAGAAATACTAAGGTTAAATGCAGATTTCTTTTCCTCTGCTGTTAATGACATCTGACTGAAACAGAATATTTAAAATCTAACTCATTTGCCATTTTTAATACTGTTTGTTAATTAGCATTCACTCCAAAATGAAATCACACTTGTAATTTTAGGAGTTTCGCTTTCAGTTTGTCATGATATCAGTATTGCAATGGGTGAATTCCAGTCACTAAAGGGAGATGTTAAAATCCAAATTAAAAAGGTTTTCATTTGGAAAAGAATTAAAATGCCAGGAAAACACTACTGCTAGTATTAGGATTTGTTTCCTTTTTAAAAAGTTTGTCCCTTCCTACAATCTAACCTTTGGGCCAAAACTATTTAGCACTTCTCCTTTAATATACAAGTAAGTGTGTAGTGTGATCAAAGGAAGCATAGCAGATATAAATTTTGTATCCTAGATTATTAACATCAGCCGACAATATCCCTCTGCTGGTATTGTAAACTTCTTTAACTTTGCTAAAACGAGAATAGGCTTGTTAATAACAATGCTCGTAACTTGTGAGTGTGAATGATTATTAATTTGTATGATGAGCATGTTACACATACACATGGTAAGATGACTCCTGCCCCAAATACACGAAAAGAAGTCGTATCACCAGTCTACTGACGGAGAATTCAGATGCAGTAACATTCAGTGGTTTGCCCAAGACCACAAAGGAAGCCTGTGGCAAAGCCAAACATTTAATCCAGTTTCCTAAAACCCAGTCTAGGGATTTACCCACCAGACTCTTGTGGTTAGTTTTTGTTTAGATATGTGTGTCTGTCTGCACTGGCAAATCAGGCATTTAGCTATTGAAGTGATCTAAAGTGTGCTTGAAACGTATCTTCAACGCGGTTACTCCCAGTTTCTTCTTCTGCCTCACTCCTATCGCCCAGTAATCAACACTACAGCAATGCCCAACCTGACTGTAAAACTATTCATTGTTTTCAGTAGCTACCTTTCCCCCAAGCTCTGTGACATATTGATTTTTCTTATCTAAGTAAAGAGGGTGTTGGTTCAGTTCTAGGGAGGAATCACAGATTTGAATGTGTACTTTACATCAAGTCAGTTGACACTTCTTTAATAGAGGCAGCACTCTGTATTGGTCTGAGCACAAGGCTGGAAACCTGAGCTGAAATCCAGGCCTTCACTTCCGTAGTCTTGGGCAAATGTCTGCCTCTGTTTCCTTACCCATGAAATGGGTATTGTGCCTTCTGACTACACAGGAGTGTTGTGAGAGATAACGTGATGCACTAGTGTCAAGCATTAAATTAAAAGCTAGAAAATTCCTGTTTCTTTTTTTACACACAACATTCCTATTAATTTCACTATAAACCTCATGTGTTTAAATATCCAAACAAAAATAGTACATCCTACACAGTGGATTTTACTCACTGTCTTCTTTGCCCACCTCCTGCAACCTACCCCAAAAAGTGAAAACCTAAATGTACAATAATCAAATGGTTCTTGTCTGTCTCTTCATATTTTCTTCATTTTTTTTTAAACGTAGACATCAACACCTTAACATTAGCAGTGCCCTAGTTAACAATGTAAGTGATTTCTACTTCACTCCGCAATCCAAAAAACAAAAATAACCCCCTCAAAACTTCTTTCTGCCATTTGCTATGAGTGCTTGCATATAAGGGCTATGTGGACTGATATTATTAACTTCATAGGTGTGGATGTTTTTGTAAACTTCTCCATGAATACTTTTAACATCCTGAGGAATCTATAAACTTCATAAACCAAATGGTCTGGTCCAAGAAACTTTGAAACTATGCTTGGTATTACAGTATAATGTTTTAGTTTTGATTCGAGAATAGGAAGTTTGTAAGTGCAGCCTGCCAGTTTGGGTTCAAAAGTTCCACATTATGCACTGAATGAAACTCCATGCATAAATGTAATCCCCTTGAAGAACTGTATACCATTAGGAAGATGTCCTGTTACCCAGGTACTGTTATCCGCAGGTAGCTTGCAAGGTCTGGAGGGGCAGCCTGTTCCTTACTAAGTGTCACACATTCCTGGGTAGCCTACCCCTGCTGAGATCCTTTTCCAGTCACCCGATTGAACCCCTTTCAAGGAGTAGGCCTATCCCTCTACTTCTCTTTGTGTATTCCTCACTGAGTCTTTAGGTTATAGCCCCTAATTAATTCAACAGATCATAATCATAGAGTTTAAGGCCAGTAGGGACCACCAGATCATCTAGTCTGGCCTCCTGTATATCATCAACACCACCCAGGCCACGAACACCACCCAGGACCCCCTGCATTAAATGCAACAATTAAAACTAGACCAATGTGTGTCAGCCCACAGAAAACTATTATGTTCCAGAGGCAGAGAATAGGAGGGACCCAATGTGCACAAGTGCCCAATGCCCCTGCAGTGGCAGGGAAATGATTAAGTGAGATTTAGCTAGATAATCCTGATGACTAACCCTCACCCACGCACTGCAGAGGAAGGTGAAAAAATCTGAAGGTCACTGCCAACCTGACCTGGGGGAAAACCTGACCTGCCAGTTTTCCTTGGGAGTCTGACACAGCATGCATTGGCAGTGCTACAGAAACAACGTCTTGCACAAAAGGCATAATTTATTTTGCTCAGAAGATACATAGCACTTAGAGAGGTGGAGTTAAAACAAGAGATGTGCACACCTATTCCCTCACCTACACTTAACCTCTTTATCCGCAGCTTAGGCAGTTCTCATTCCCCATCTCTGAGTTGGGAGAACCAGCTGACTGCTTGCAGCCCTCTCCCTTTGTCTGTGTATGTGTCCGTCCAGGCTATCAGGTTTTTCACTCACACATAAGCATATAAGAATGGCCATACTGGGTCAGACCAATGGTTGAAAGGGAATGAACAGAACAGGGCAATTTAGTGAGTGATCCATCATCCAGGCCTAATTTCTGGCAGTCAGAGGCTTAGGGACATCCAGCGCATGGGGTTGCATCCCCATTGATGGACCTATCCTCCAGAACTTTTAATTCTTTTTTGATCCCTGTTATAATTTTTGCCTTCACAGCATTGCCCAGCAGTGAGTTCCACAGGTTGATTGTGCATTATGTAAAGAAGTACTCTCTTCTGTTTGTTTTAAATCTGCTGCGTATTAATTTCATAGGGTGACCTCTGGTTCTTGAGTTATGTATTTATGTAAATAAAACTTCCTTCTTTTCTTTCTCCACACCATTCATGATTTTATAGACCTTTATCATATCCCCCTTTAGTCATCTCTTTTTCTAAGCTGAACAGTCCGTCTTTTTTTCATCTCAGCACATATGGAAGCTGTCCCATATCCATAAACATTTGTTGCCTTTCTCTGTACTTTTTCCAATTCTAATATATCTTTTTTGAGATGGGGCAACCAGAACTGCACGCAGTATTCAAGTATTCATATATCCTGGCTGTTTTCTCGGCTCACCCCTTCTATATAGTCCATGAGCTGTTTGAATCTTCTTTGATTCTAGACTTAGCCTTGGGAAAAGTAAAACATTTTGGCCTGGATGGAGCCAGCTAAGTAACTTTTCCGTTCAATTGATGGCCCATCCATTATTATCTTAACTTGTTTAAAGCTGGGTACCTGAGGGGCGGTCTTAGAATCATAGAAGATTAGGGTTGGAAGAGACCTCAGGAAGTCATCTACTCCAACCCCCTGCTCAAAGAAGGACCAACCCCAACTAAATCATCCCACCCAGAGCTTTGTCAAGACGGGCCTTAAAAACTTCTAAGGATGGAGATTCCACCACCTCCTTAGGTAACCTATTTCAGTGCTTCACCACCCTCCTAGTGAAATAGTTGTTCCTAATATGCAACCTAGACCTCCCGCACTGCAACTTGAGACCATTATTCCTTGTTCTGTCATCTGCCACCACTGAGAACAGCCTATCTCCATCCTCTTTGGAACCCCCCTTCAGGTAATTGAAGGCTGCTATCAAATCCCCCCTCACTCTTCTATTCTGCAGACTAAACAAGCCTAGTTCCCTCAGCCTCTCCTCGTAAGTCATGTGCTCCAGCCCCCTAATCATTTTTGTTGCCCTCCGCTGGACTCTCTCCAATTTGTCCACATCCTTTCTGTAGTGGAGGCCCCAAAACTGGACACAGTACTCCAGATGTGGCCTCACCAGTGCCGAATAGAGGGGAATAATCACTTCCCTCGATCTGCTGGCAATGCTCCTACTAATGCAGCCCAATATGACATTAGCCTTCTTGGCAACAAGGGCACACTGTTGACTCATATGCAGCTTCTCGTCCACTGTAACCTCTAGGTCCTTTTCTGCAGAACTGCCGTTTAGCCAATCGGTCCCCAGCCTGTAACAGTGCATGGGATTCTTCCATCCTAAGTGCAGGACTCTGCACTTGTCCTTGTTGAACCTCATCAGATTTCTTTTGGCCCAGTCCTCCAATTTGTCTAGGTCACTCTGAACCCTATTCCTACCCTACAGCATATCTACCTCTCCCCCCAGCTTAGTGTCATCCGTGAACTTGCTGAGGGTGCAATCCATCCCATCATCCAGATCATTAATGAAGATGTTGAACAAAACTGGCCCCAGGACCGACCCCGGGGCACTCTGGTTGCTACCAGCTGCCAACTAGACATTGAGCCATTGATTGCTACCCATTGAGCCTGACGATTTAACCAGCTTTCTATCCACCTTGTAGTCCATTCATCCAATCCATACTTTTTTAACTTGCTAGCAAGAATAATGTGGGAGACCGTATCAAAAGCTTTGCTAAAGTCAAAATATATCACGTCCACTGCTTTCCCCATATCCACAGAGCCAGTTATCTCATCATAGAAGGCAATCAGGTTGGTCATGCATGACTTGCCCTTGGTGAATCCATGTTGACTGTTCCTGATCACCTTCCTCTCCTCCAAGTGCTTCAAAATGGTTTTCTTGAGGACCTGCTCCATGATTTTTCCAGGGACTGAGGTGAGGCTGACCGGTCTGTAGTTCCCCGGATTCTCCTTCTTCCCTTTTTTAAAGATGGGCACTATATTTGCCTTTTTCCAATCGTCCGGGAACTCCCCCAATCAACACGAATTTTCAAAGATAATGGCCAATGACTCTGCAATCACATCAGCCAACTACCTCAGGTGCATTAGATCCGGGCCCATGGACTTGTGCATTTCCAGCTTCTCTAAATAATCCTTAACCTGTTCTTTCACCACTGAATGCTGTTCACCTCCTCCCCATATTGTGCTGCCCAGTGCAGCAGTCTGGGAGCTGACCTTGTCTGTGAAGACGAAGGCAAAAAAGCATAGAGTACTTCAGCTTTTTCCACATCATCTGTCACTAGGTTACCTCCCCCATTCAGTAAGGGTCCCACACTTTCCCTGACCACCTTCTTGTTGCTAAAATACCTGTAGAAACCCTTCTTGTTACCCTTCACATCCCTTGCTAGCTGCAACTACAGTTGTGCTTTGGCCTGCCTGATTACACTCCTGCGTGCTAGAGCAATATTTTTATACTCCTCCCTAGTCATCTGTCCAAGTTTCTGCTTCTTGTAAACTTCCTTTTTGTGTTTAAGCTCACCGAAGATTTCTCTGTTAAGCCAAGCTGGTCGCCTGCCACATTTGCTGTTCTTCACATCTGGATGGTTTATTCCTGCGCCCTCAATAAGGCTTCTTTAAAATACAGCCAGCTCTCCTGGATTCCTTTCCCCCTCATATTAGCCTCCCAGGGAATCCTGCCCATCAGTTCCCTGAGGGCTTTTCTGAAGTCCAGGGTCCGTATTCTGCTGCACTCTTACATATGTCATTGTTTTACCTTTCTTACTGAGTTCTGTAACAGCCCCTTGAAAGCCTCCTTTGCCTGAGCTCTGTGCATTCAGTCAGGCCCCAATATGTAACTGAACAGGGAAATGGAATCACACATAATATTCATGAATAGTATATTTTTCCAGTTCTTCTCACTAAGAACAGAGACCCATCCTGCAGACGTTGTAAGCTCCATTAAGCAGGTTACAAGGTCTGCAAGATCTAAGCTCCATGTTGACTTCTGAGAACCACTCATGAGACTCTAGATACTTAGGCTTTTTTGCACAGGTTCAAGAAACTTGGCTCTTGTCTAGATACTAAATTTGCACCAGGTTAATTAAACTGGGTTAGTTAAACTGGTGAAAATCCCTTGTGTGTAGAGACTTTGGTTTAAGACGTGGCTTATTTTGGTTTATCTTAAACCTAGTCCTAATTGATTTAAGTTTAGTGAAAGTACGTCTGATTGATTGAAACCTCAATAAGTGTGTTCACACATTTTTTTGCACCAGTTTAGAAGTATCAGTTTAAAATTATATCTTAAACTGAAGAGGTGCAACTGTGCCTGGAATCAAGCCCTTGCAAATAATATGGACGCTCATCTCCAAGGAGAAACTCATTTGATAGTCAACCAAATTATACACAACCACTTGGTTTCATTATTGAGTTAAAATTGCATTATTTCTACAGTCTTCATTTATCAGAGCAGATTGATTCAAAAGTAGACAAGGTTTTACTTCTAACTCTACCACTTTGTGACCTTAGGCAAGTCAATTTACCTACTGATATTAATTATAACTAATGTTGGTTTAATTAAAGTGATGTGATCCTAATGCTTCTGAAAGTATTTTGATACCCTTGAATTAAAAGCACAGTAAAAATGCAATATATTATCTCCTGTCTTTATATAGATTTTTTTTGGATTATTTATCCTAAAGATAAAGAAAAGCTCTTTTTCTCCCCTTTTCCATCCTAGTTTCTTAACAGACAACTTCTTTTATTCTTTGTATGACTAGGAGAGAGCCTACTACTGGAGGTCTTGTGGAGACACAATTTTTTGGAAATGTAAACTGTGGATGGTTATATCTTCAGTTTTCCTAGGGCTCCTTCTAGTGATTATTATCAGCTTAATTCTTTATTCAGGTACGTACTTTACTTTTGATAGTGTGTTTTTCTTTTAGATGCATGCTGCAGCCTGTCTGGAGTTTGGCTGTTGAGTTTTGTCATGGAGGTGGTTTATAATATGTGCTGGGTTGAGCAGTCGAGTATTCGGTGGATTTGAGGAATTTTCTTCTCGGGCATGTTTTAACTAGTACTGATTTTCAGTTAAGGCACCTAGAGATCTTAAGGGGCTGATACCTGTACATTTAAATCTATTACTCTTCTTTCTGTTAAACTATATCTACTTGGTAGCTTGCCTTCAAGATAATTGCTGCTTGAATCCAATGGCAACATGCCCATTGATTGTATGTCAAGGTTGTTAATATAATAACTAAGTCTGGAAAAAAGGTTCTCAAATTGTTATACTCTGGGCCTTTTCTAAAGCTAAAATCCTCTGATGGCCAGCTCCCCAGCCTGATCCAATATCTTCCCTATGGCAATTGCAGAGCATGATTACATGAGAAAATAATACTAGGACAAGGTCAAAGAGACAAGAGGAAAATCATACTTGTGTCGATGCAATGAATGCAGCCAGATTGGTGTTATCCTGATATTTTGTATTGGTGCAATTCATTAGCTTTGCCTGGGGGTCAGACTTCCTAATAATAGTCAGAGTGGTGCGTGCACCCACAACTGCTCAAATTTCTTCGGATAACTTACGTGTTGCGCCTGTCAGCCTGTAACCCTCCAGTTTTCACTGTGGCTAAATTTACATTTTAGAAACACCTGACAAAGCAGTCATAGGGGCTGCTTCGAGGCACAAGTTTCTTTGAGTTCAGCTAGTCAAAATGTCCCTGGAAATAGGTCTGGGCTACATATGGCAGGAAGTATTTTATCTGAGCACTAACAAAGACATCTCCACTCTGATAGGGGGGCTATCAAACGGACACTGGCATGTTCTGTTGACCATGCTTTGAGAGCTGCTCATTGTTGAATGATTCTGAACTTTTTCTATCTGTAACAGCCAATTGGGAACATGCTCTTTCATTTTTTGGTATTACAGAGGTTTACATAGATGAAGATGAATATTGGGATCCTGAATCAGTATCAAGTGGAAATTATCGCAATTTTTCTGGAAGACTACAAATAAAGTGTGCTGCTCAATCAAATTATTCTGAAGATCTTACTAAGAGGGTAATTATGACAGAGCTTTCACCATAGCTGATTCTGACCATAACACCTATTTGGTGTTCCTTTGAATATGAGTCAAAGGCAGGGCCGCCCAGAGAATTCAGGGGGCCTGGGGCAAAGCAATTTCGGGGGCCCCTTCCATGAAAAAAAGTTGCAATACTATAGAATACTATATTCTCCCTGCGAGGCCCGGGGCCGGGGGCAAATTGCTCTCCCCCCTCCCCCCCGCCCCGGGTGGCCCTATGTCAAAGGGTTCTCAATTTTATCTGTGGGAGGAAGAATTGATTCAGAAAAGTGTGAGTGATAGTTGGGAATTGTTTAAGAACACTTTACTACGTGCTCAAAATGCCGCAATCCTACGATTGAGGAAGAAGCCATACTGGTTACAAAACTGACTTGGTTTAGCAGGGAAGTGAAAGCAGCTGTAAAAAATGTATAACATGGAATAAAGAGGAAGTTGATATTAATGACTCAAACTGTGAATTATAGAAAAATCATAAAGGAAGCAAAGGGACACAAGAAGATATCTATGGCTCGCATAATTAAGCACAAGAGAGAGTTTTTTAACGAATATTAGGAACAAAAGAATCCAAACACTGGTATTGATCCATTACTAGATGGAAATGGTAGAATTATCAATAATAATGCAGAAAAGATAGAAGTGTATTTGGAGGGAAAACAAATGAATGTACTTACCATATGATGATATTCTTTCCATTCCACTAGTATCTTGGAGAATGGTAAATGGCAACTACTAAAATTAGACACTTTTAAATCAGCAAGGCCAGTGATAGAAAAACAGAGAAAAGTGTAACATGATCCAATGGCTGGAAGGTGAAGCTAGACAAATTCAGACTGGAAATAAGGCATACATGTTTAACAGGGACATTATAACGGTGCAACGACTCACCACTGCGGTGCCGCCTGATGGTCGTCCAGGGAATTAGCTCTCCAACCTCCGGAGCGCCCTCTGCAGGCCAATGTCCTGCTTGCTGCTGGCCCCGGTGTCCCTCCCGGACCTCAGGGTTCCGCTCCATGCAGTACCCCGCAGTCTCGCTGGGTCTCCCCTCCCCGGGGAACCTCCAACCCCCTATCCCCACCTCATCTCAGTCTTGCCTACTGCCAGTCACCATCTAGCCCCCCGCTCACTGGAGAAGACTACAGTATAATTGCCACTCATCATTGGCAAGGAGGGTTTGGACCTGCTGCCTCTGCCTACCCTTGGGCTGCCCCTCTGCAACCCCCGTACCTTTCTTGGCCTTCAACAAGGCCTGCAGCCTGGGGGTTTTCCAAGCCAGAGCTCCCCAGCTCCTCTGGCCTTTCCCTAGCCCTGCTCCACTTTAGGTACCCTGCTCATCTCCCAGCAGCCAGCCCCATCCCTCTCAGCATCTAGAGAGAGACTCTTGAGCTCTGGCTAGCAGCCCTTTTATAGGGCCAGCTGCGGCGTGATTGGGGTGTGGCCCCAGCTGAGGCTGCTTCCCCAATCAGCCTTTCCCCAGGCACAGCCCTCTCCAGGGCTGTTTTTAACCCCTCCGGGCAGGAGCGGGGTGAGCACCCCACTACAGACAGAGTGTGCCAGGTTGCAGCCCCTACACCGGCTCCTCACTGACATTATGTTGCGTTTTTGGTTGCACTTTTCCCCTCACCTTCTCATTTATGCACTCCCTATCCGTGGCCCCACAAAGTCACGGGACCTCCTGGTCAACTTCCTCTTGGCCCTGGCTAAACAGGCCATCTATAAAACCAGGGAGAGGAGGTTGGCCGATGGAGGTTCCTGTGACTGTGGGGCCTGTTTCCGATCCTCTGTTCGTTCACGTATCCGGGCAGAGTTCCTCTGGGCGGTGTCCACTGGCTCCCTTGACACCTTCGAGGAGCAGTGGGCGCTGTCCGGGGTTCTCTGCTCGGTGTCCCCGTCAGGTTCCCTTCTTTTGACCCTTTGACCGCACTCCTGTCCCTGTTTTTATATTAGTTGTCCCCCGTAATCATTTGGGTTTTAGGCTGTGGGGGGAATCCTTTAGCAGTGGGCGGGCTTTGCCCGCCCACTTCCCAGAACCCAATATGTACAGACAGTAATTAGCCATTGGCACCATTTACCAAGGCTCATGGTGGGTTCTCCGTCACTGTGAAATTTTAAAATCAAAATTGGATGCTTTTCTAAAAGATATGCTCTAGGAATTTTGAGGAAGTCCTATGGCCTGTGTTATGCAGGAGGTCAGATTAGATGGTCACAGTGGTCTCCTGTGGATTTGGAATATGACTCTTTCTAGGTGATGTAAGGCCGTGATCCAACAAAGCACTAGCATAACTTTAAGCACAAGAAGTCTCATTGACTTAAAAGTTACACAGGCGTTGAAGTGCTTTTGCTGGATTGTTGCCTAAATTAGAGCTATGTTGTAGAGTGTGGATCACACTTACATTAAAACATCCTTGTTAAATTCTCTTGTAAGTGTCTAAGGCCTCACAAGTTGGGTTTATTGTTGTTTGTTCCCACTTATCTACTATTCAAAACTACCTGGTAAACACACAAAACTGATATATAAAAATAGGAGTAAGAATGCTACTCAGACTTATTGCAGAAGGGGATGCGATTTACGTAGAAGGAAAATTTTTATACAATTTTAACTACTTATTGTTTCTATCAATAATTAAATTATAGATGGCAGCATGAGTCGATATGTATAGTCTTAATCTTTGCGGAATATCTCCATTGTGTCAAGGCAACACAATGATCATCCTACACACAGGTTTACTTGGCTATCTTGCTCACTGAGACTCTATTTATTGTCAATGGTATCTCAGTAGGATATGCACAATCTTTCACTCTCCACCACTTTTCCTAGAGGCTTCCTAGGCAATAATGATTTTCCTGCCTAGGGCTCTCACTGGTAATTTCTAGTTCAACCCATACAGCCAGTCACACCCTGGCCCTGGTCTTCAGGTTGGATGTGAATATCAAGGACATCACAATCCATCACCTCATTAAGGTGGTAGTAGTCAGAGGTCTCTCAGCTCTCAGATAACAAGAAAGACAAATGAAGGCCCTGAGTCCACCAAATTCCAAAGCCCATTAAAAGACGGCTTGAGAAGCTAGGATCAGTTTTGCCTGGCTGGTCTGACATTGCTTATTACTATCAAGGGAGCAGCATCACCTACTTTCCTATCCTGATTTTTAGTTCAGTCAATGCAAAGGATAAGTAAAGATTTTTGAGGTCCCCACTTTAAGATCAATCCCTAGTGATTTTTCCAGATAAACAGAAAAGTATTATGTATTTTGGAAAAAAAACCTAAATTGGCACAGAGAAAATAAACCGAAATTGAAATCCCAATGAGAGCGGAAACTGATTTTTACCATTAGATTTTAAAATAAAATGAATTCCTTGTACAGATATCTGCCAGGACTTGACCTGAAGGTTCTGTACACTTCCCCCATTCTGAAAACTTAAATTACCCTTTTTTCTTCTACTTGTGTTGGAAGGTATGCCATGAAAGAAATATTTGATTCTCTTTTCAAGCTAATAGATGTCTACAGTTCATCTCCAGCCCTGGGGCGCTATTTTATCACTGCTCAAGTGGATTCCTTCAGGTAGGAAATTATTGTAAGAATTTTCTTTAAGTGTTTGTTTAGCAGAATTGAATCCGTCACATAGACATACAAAACATTCTAAAACTCTGAAATAATCTTTCTCAGGAGAAATACCAGTACAATCAGTGAAGTTATGTTTCCACAAAAATTAACCAATTACATTTGTAAAAGATAAGTTGCCTCCCAGTAGAACATGTTGTTAAGTTATAGGAAATCTTTAAGTATTGTCCATATGCTCAGTCCTTGATGGTCTCAACTGCTAGCTTTATCACGCTTGTTGAAGTGAGAAAACTGGAATTGCTTCAGAGCAACTTTGCTTAAATATATATTTTTAGGCCCAGATATTTCAAAGGTATTTAGGTATTGCTGCACTCAGTGTTGCAACACCTAACTGAGTCTAAATCTCATTTTCTGAAGCAATTTAGGCACTTAGGATTTTAGGCAATGGGATTTGGGCACCTAAATCCCGTTTGAAAATGAGATTTAGGCTCCTAAATCAGTTACGCATTGCAATGAGTGAAGCATTGCCTAAATACCTTTTTTAAAAATCAGGTCGCAGTGCCCAAAAGCATGGTAGGTGTTTTCGTAAATTAGAGGTATGTGCTCTAAAGAACCTAAAGCCAACATAGATACACATAAGCAACAAGAAAATCACACTTGATTTCCATTTTCTACATGACTTGCTCAGACTAGCAGGAGCAGATGATGAGTAAAGATTGGAGAGATTGAAATGAGAGGAGGGATCGCTGGAGGTTTGCAAAGATTGGAGAGGTTGAAATGAGTGGAGGGATCGCTGGAGGTTTACATAATCTACTCCAGAATTTGGATTAGAAACATTGGCTTGTTGTCAGATATTGTTAGAGGGCAGAATGGATAATGTTAGCAGGAAAGCAATCACTTGTGTGAGCTCTTCTATAAAATAAAGATGTCCAGTTGCAGCAGATCTCCTGGTATCACCATATTTGGATTGCACGAGGACTCTGCTCACAATAATGGCCATATGGGGGAGATTTTTGACATCTAACTGCCTTTTTGGACCCTTTGAAAGTCTTCCCCGTGCTATATCTGGATTACATGTACAAATCCCATTAGCATCAACAGTAGTTGCTCTTGAGGGCGAAGGCGGACAACATGTTAGTTTAAGTATGCCGTTGTTTTTAACGTTTTCTCCTTAGGTCATGGTTTTTAAAAATAAATGCTAATGTTAAAAGGAAAGGCAATTCTAAAAGCATTCAGTGCTTATTCCTGCTGAGGTCTATTTCTTTTTCAGTTATGAAAATGCCACTGCATTCTACCAGCTTGTATTCTCCTTGCCACCAGTGGCTGACGAGTTCATGAAGTACACGATGAGTGAAGAGTTTGTGATGAATGTCTTGCGACAAAATATTTATGATCAGGAAGATACTTATGATCAGGAATCACCTGAATGTACTAAGATAAGGCTTGATCCAGCTTCTCTCACACTAACTTGTAAGTGCCATATATAACAGAATTTATCTATAGAAAGAGAATAAGTACTCACAGTTCTTTAAAATGAAGGAAGTATTTATGGAAAGACAATGAGACTTGTCAGTTAATATATTTGTGCACATAGAGGTATGGGTAATGTTCTAAAATATCAACAATCAGTGTTCATAACATTGTCCTACTCTTACTTTAATGTATGCATACATTCTGAGAGAGATTTATTTAGTACTAGATGGAGTAGATGAGAAAGAGTTGTGAAAAGATCATTGTGCTCCACCAGCCTGCCCTATCTCTCCAGCTTTTCACACTACTTCAGTTCCAGCCATGATCCCAGGCAAAGAACAATACGTTTTGAAAACTGGTTACAAGAGGTTTCAGTAATGAAGACTTCATTAAATGTCCTAATATAGGCCCTTCTTTTGGATGGTCATAAAAAAGTGTTAAATCCTTAATGGAAAAGTCAGGAGTAGCTGCTAGGTAACATTCAGTGCTTTTCACTTCAGAGTCAAGGAGGGAACAGCTCATTACAAAGAAATAAATCAAGTTCCCTAACCCCATAAACAAGTAATGTGCAGGAATAGTATTGCTTCATATGTACATAGGTGCTGGATGGAGCTAGAGGAAATTGTCTGTTATGATCAGGCTTTTATAAAAGACCTTGAGTACTGACTTTCCTCCTTCCTTCCCCTCTCATTATATTGTGGCTTATTGGAACGCATGAGATACTATCCCCTGTTTTTAAAATGTCAATGTATACGTACCAGCTAAAAATCCTATTGCCTTAAAGTTTGACTGAAGGTCCAGGGTCGGGTGATTTTTCTTCCTTACTGCTGAATGTAAGCACTGTAAAAAGTACTATGTTGTAAAAAGACTGTAGAAGTACTTTTTCAGGAAGGAAATTCAAACCAGACTCTGAAAACGTTTTGGTCAGTTAGGATGTAGTTTATTCAGAGCTCTAGACCCTCTTCTTACATTTTCCCAACCAGTCTGTACAGCCTCATTTCAGTGATTTTTAGTTCCTTTGGTCTGGGGGTCTTAAAGGAGGAAGTTCAATGCCCAAATCTCATTGAAAGACAATGGCAGTTGGGTAACCTTGCATGCTTTCAAAAATCCCAGCCTAAATCATGCCACTAAGGTGTGTAAAAAAAGCTCACATATTAGTTGCAAGAAATATAATCCAGCTGTCTAAGCATGGGACAGAAAGCCAACAACTCATGTGCTGTCATTTTAGATCTCACACTACGTACTTAACTTTTCAAGTAATAATGGAGTGAATGAAAAAAACACAAAGTAGTTAAGAAACATATGTATTGAGATAGTTTTAACATTTAATTTTAATTTTTTTAATGTACTGTTTCTGTTTCAGAGTAACAGCGGAAAGACTCATAGTTTACCACAGCCACTTGAGGACATGTGTTTCCTGTATGTATTAACATCCTGAGGAATGAGAATTAATTTCATTATTGTGAAACGTTTCTGAAGAATATGGCTGTATTGTGAACACTTTACACAATGCAATAATGTATGTAGCACATGCAATATATTTATCACAGCTATTTACACTTTGAATACAGCCATCTCCTTCACTGCTGTCCTGACACTCACTCCACCCTTGTCCAATCCACTTGAAGCTTTGTTGCCAAAAATCATGTAACTTGCCTGATGCTGAGCACGTTAATCCACTTTTGCAGCACCTTCACTGGGTTTACATTGCCTTTTTAATAGAATCCAGAACTTGTTCTTTCCTTCAAGCCCCTCCATAAGCTAGCTCCTTTCTAACACTCCACTCTTCTCACTCTACTGCCAGTCACATTTTCCTCTTTGCTCATGCCAAGTTGTCCATGCAGTTGCCCCTTGAACTTTGTTTCCCACACTCATCTCCCGGCTTCTCTCATGCTGACTGCATCCACCATACTTCATCCCTCAACCTGAAATCCCTCTCCAAACCCATTTCTTGCAAACTGTACATGCTTAAATACTTCACTGTTTTCCTGATTTTTTTTTTAAATGACTTTCAAACTCTTCCAGAGACCTCTGTCATGTTGCTCTCTTGCTCGTCCTTCCCTTTTCTCTCCCTCCCTGTGGAGATGTCTGCTCCTGTTTCTTGCCTTAATTTAGATTGATTGTAAGCTCTTATGGAGCAGTGACTTCATCTTTATTGGTACAGTGAAGTGCCATGTACATTTATGATGTTCTACTATTGTCCCATGACCTGGCCCTGCAAACACTTAGATACAAGTATTTCCATTCTATTCAGTGGGATTATTGATATGAGTAAAGTGAATTTAGGACTGCCGTACCCCAAAGGTATGTAGGATAAATGTGCTCCTCAGTGACATGTTCCAGTATGCAGTGTTCTAGGAATTGCTCAGGGGTCAATATAGCTGTTTACTTGCTAACTTAATGGAATTCGTCCATAATGTGTGTGTCAAATGGCAAATATTTGACACAACTATAATTTGTTTTTTTAAAAGCACTTCTTTGAGTCCATATCCTGATTGTCTGCAGGACTCAGGAAATACTCACCAACACACCATATACAGATAGGATATATGACCAGAGATGATTTTTTTTGGCCTTTTGAATGATCAAATACTGGTCACAGTTGTAGGCAAAACACCTGACTAAATTGGTCAGTGGTAACATCAGGCAAATCCTTTGTTTCTAAGCATGTCACATCAGAAAGTCAACATGTGATCATGTAACGACAGTAATACTGCATTTGCACATGGCGGAAAAATTAAGGCGAAACTGAACTATGAATTTTGTGACTCGTGGGCTGAAGAGAGAACTTCAACATTATACTATGGAAGTGCAACTTCCTGCAGTGAATTATTCTGAGTTTTGAAGTTCAAAGGTTTATACTGAAATGTGAATTTTAATATATTTTTACAGGAAGATTTATCTTAGGAAACTTTATGGCATTACAGTAGGAGACAAGTATATGGGAAATAATCACTTTTTTAAAAATTTGGCATCTATTTTTAGAAAATGACTAAACTGTATCTGATGTATTAAATTATTTTTGTGATACTATTTAACATTTGTTTGAATTGTTGTTTTATCAGTTCTAAGCCTTGACTGGTGACTTTGGGCTGAAAGATGACCACAAAGGTAGAGCTGTGCAAAACTTGTGTAACCAAACCTGCAATGATTCAAAACTTGGGCTAGGTCAATTTAGATGAGTGAGCCTGGTCAGTGGTGCAGGATAAATGAGTGAATCACCTGACTCTCCAGTTTGTCACACAGCTATTGCCACCAGCACCACATTGGTATGTACAATGTGGCGAGAACTTCATGTTTCCTTACTTAGTGTCAGTTCTCATTTTTAACGTGACTGATTTTAATGCACTAATGTGATATAGGTGCTTTTAGAGCCATATTCTACACCTAGGTGGTATTGTCTTCCTGATTCTTAGCCTGGGGAAGATAAAGTTCACTCCCACCCTCATGGAAGTGACAGGTAGTCTTTCCCCCAAAGCAACAGACCATGAAGATTTTCCAGAAGCAATGGGAGTCATGCACAGTCCCCTTGCCTTTGCACTGCTGCTTGGCCTTGTGGCGCATTGTCTATGGTGACTGTACCTGCCCTTGAGTCCTGCAGGGAAGCAGCACAATTGATCATCTTTCTTTGCCTGTTTTCCACATGGGTTTGGCGAGAGGAGCGAGAGCAGTGTTGGAGTGAGAATTAATGGGAGACTCACCACTCTCCAGTCCTCCCCTTATCCCAGCCAGCTTTGCCATACTTGGAGAAAGGAGTAGCTCCCAACTGCTGTAGTACAGAGAGGGGGAGTTGGGTCAGTAAGAGTGCTGTGGGGGAAATGCAGCAGGATGCTATCATGGAGTAAGGATTATATACACTAAACCTGAAGGGCTGTGCACAAAAGGGGCTGCCAGCAGTCTTCACACAGTCAGGCCTCCATTATAAAATAGATCCCCCGCACCGTGCACTTCATTTACATGAGTAAAAGATTTTTTTTAATTGCTCTTTACCTTTTTCTTCGAGTTTAAGTTTAAACCACACAAGACAATGATATGGCAGATGAATGGGTTTTAATGTTAACCAACATGAAAATATGCAGTAATTTGGCTAGTATATTTTTAAAAATGCTTTACTAATTTGAATGTAATGCCCAAGATCCTGGAATCAAAATGAAAGGGGATGAGAAATTTAGTCCTGATAACTCTCTCTATTGTCCTCTGTACAACAGCCAATAGTAGCATGTTTTCGACAGTGCTCTAAATGCAGCTCTCCTCTCTGCTGGTGTGCAGAAACTCCAGATGCAGATAAGACTGCCTTGCCGTTGTTTTAGCAATGTCTGTGCAAGGCTGGCTGAGTTTCCATGAGTCCTAGTTGTCTTTCCAAAGAAGTAGCGTGGAAATGTGACGGTATTAAGATGAATGAGCTGCAAGTGAGGGAGGAGTTAGGCACACAAATGCCAGAGGTATTGTCAGCAATTATGTACTTGGGAATTTCAAAACCAGAAAAAAGACACCATGTGTTTTTCCAGATGTGTTCTAATACAGAATTCGGAGACATTCAAATGTCCAGGCAAGGATACAGGGGGCTTAGTGTCACAGCATTAACCCTTCTAATCTGTTTAATACTCGGTTTCAGTCTCGCTGAAGTTTCAAGAGAAAATGAGTTCAGCTGTCTCATCTAGTAGACTGTAGACCTTTATCCATCTCAAAAATGTCATATTTGTCTGTCTCTGAAAAATCCCAGGACTGGAATAGTAGGAAGGTAAGGCTCCTGCTGGCCAGGACTGGTGACATTTTCAAAACTGCAGGCAGAAGTTCTGACTCCATCTGTAGGCTGTGCTGTCAGTCCCCTTGTCACAAACAGCCCAAATTTGCAATATGGTGCTGCAAGCCAGGAGTGCAGAGAATTGCAAGAGCTGTGGGCCAGCAGAGCTCCTATTGGAAATAATGGGAAAAGTACATGTGCATTTGAAGGCAGCATTAGGTTCCCTGGTAGGCTTCATCCACGTTTAGGTGATGGCAGTGAGTATGAATAGCTATACCATTATTTGCGCATGAATCATCAGCAATGCAATTTTATTTCTTCATTCAAATGCAACTTCATTAAGACTTCTCTGAGATCTGGGTCACAGGTTGTAAAACCACTGTACAAATGGTCAGATTAACCGCCATGGCTCTGTCCCCACACCATCCTACATCAAGATCAGCCAGTGCAAGGGCACTCTAAGTCTTTGATTTATGATTTAAGTAAACAAGCATTCCGGTGAGGTTTTACCAGAGTCACTGAAATTTTCACCAACACTTGGGTCACTGGAAATTTTCATAGTCCTATTCTAAAATAATTTGTGCAATTATTTAAAACTCTGCAAAGAGGACTGAAAGCCTTAGCAGCTTCTAATAATGAAGCTCCTAAACTACTATACCATCTTGCAATGGGCAGATACTGTTGATTCGTGTTGCTTTGTTACCAACTAGTCCCAGCATCATGTTGTGCATGTTGTGTAAATTTAATTGTGTTAAATCTTTTATGGTAAAATGAGTCACTTGAACAGTGGATGGCAGAACTACCCTAAAGTATAGGCTGTATATGTTAAAGGGATGCCCCTGGGTTTATTGTAAGTGTTGATGTTACTGGGAAAATGGTTTGGAAGACAGCATCCTAGTTGCTTAGAATATGCAGGGTCCCTTAGTGCAGTAAAGAGAGGTGCAGGTTTTCTAACTTATCAGGATATAATCATATTCATTGTCCTGGTGACTGATAAAAGTCACTTTCTTGGCAGGCATGCTGATGAAGGCATATTCAGTTTCATGGTTGCTGTTTATCATGGCAGGTTTTTCCTTAAGGCTATGATTAATGGTGGCGTAGCATATCTCATTAGGATGAGTCAAGTCTGTTTCTTCAAGATTATCCTGATAATGAGAAGAGAGAGCAGTATTAAAAATCTCTTGCCCTGCCCTGCACTGAAACCGTGAGACTCATGTGGTAGCACTGTTGCTAGCCCGGTACCACATGGCTGACAATAATATTCACCATTGTGGCCATATCTGCAATCACTTCAGTATTGTGTAAACTGCAGTTTATCATGTATAGGAGCGTACTTGTTATCTAATGGAATGTAAAATTGCAGATCTGATATTCAGGGTCATTAAAGTTTCCCACCTTGTTTTGGGGAGCAGTAAGACAGTTACCCACGCGCGCGCACGCACACACACCAGTGTCCAGGCCAAATTCCAACTCAGGCATTTAAGTTCTTACCCTTGTAGTTGCTCCTCCAGTTTTAGCTGGATACAGTGTTATTATTTCATTCCTGCCCTAAGTAGTTGTGCAGTGTTGCTGTGCATTGGTAAAGAGCTAAATTGTGCTTCAGAAGCAGTTGCGCTTGGAAGACTATTCAAATACTACTTATGCATATGCAGGGATAAATTCAGAGGTGAACCCAGTCTAAACTGGTGTAATTTACACCATCTCTGTCTTCCCCACAATCAATATGTACATTAGCCTAACTTACACTTAGTCTAGGGACCATTTAGAATAATTTAAGAGAGACGCACCCATTTACTAGCATCTAACATACACCTGACTCCTTTACACATCACCTCTGTGTTTGACCTTCGGAGTACAGGGAAGCCAAAATTAGTGCAGCTTGCAGGCTGCTGTGCTAGAAGTTATTCAAGATAACAAGAGTCTAGCTGTGCCTGTAACACAGAACTGCTTGTACAATTCAGCAAAAGTCAAGGACGAAGACTGACTTAATCCAAACCAAAAGGTCTCTTGATGCCACCCAAGGACTGGAGGGAGATCAAATTTGGTAAACAAGAGGAGCGTCAGACTGGAAACCATGTTGGTGGGTCAGAAATTGGACCTAGCTAGTAGACAAAATAATGAAGAGATGGGTATTCCGTCCATCACTCCCTTCAGGGTTCTTAAAAGGATTTCGGGGAAGAATCAAGTTGGTGGACTGGGAGGACAGGAAGGAGCAAACTTCACCATAATGA